CAAAGTACACTACGCTGACCTTAACAAACTGGACCAAAATACTAACGTGGGAAATCGGCCTGTGATGTGACTGTGATGTGACTGTGATATGACTGTGATATGAGTGTGATGTGTGAAATGAGGAATGCTGAACGGAATCATGGAATAACAAATGTGTCTGTAATGTTTTAATGTGATCATGGAATAATTATTTTTTGTCAACAGCATACGGTGTAAGTACTAGAGATTCAAAGATAACAAGCTTTATTGAACAGGTGTAAAAGTGAGAGTACTCTGGGATGAGTACTCTGAGAAAAGTACTCTGCTGAAAGTACTCGGAGATGAAATACCTCGCTGAAGATATTGGGAGTTCCTGCCTCTGCTGTTTGTCCTGACAGCGACACAGTCCAACCGCAGTGAGCTGTCGTTGGTTGAAGGACAACTTTGGTCTGTAAACTCACATTTAGGGGAGTATAAAATTAGAAACATACATTTTGTTGTTCTGTATTTGGCTACAGCCTCCGCCCTGATGCCACACACCACCTGTCAATGCAGTTATGTTTTGCCCAATTGGGAAAAAGATTGACAAGCGAAAGTGGGCATTTTTTTTGTGTTTTTTGTGTTCTAATATTTCTTTTTCAGATGAGAGATAAACTACCCCTGCTCCAGGGATGACAGTAGTATGGATCAGGAGGAAATGAGCCTCCACTTTGGCACAAAAGCCCACAATATGAATTGAGGACGATCCGGGAGAAAAGCAACTGGAGATGAACGGAACAGTCGGTACTTTTGCAGCCTCACTGAGGGCCACTGAGACCCACTGCTTACTTCTCAGCAAAACTCGATCCCGTGGCAGCAGGGTTGCCTCGCTGCCTGCGGGCTGTGGCTGCCGCTGAGAAAGCGGCCCTAGCATCACGTGACCTTGTGGGATACACTGAACTAACTTTGCTTGTGCCCCATGCTGTTTCCCTGATCCTGTTAGAGCAGAGGGCCTCTCGCCTTTCTGCGGCTCGTTGGCTGGGGTACAACACGGTGCTCTTTGAACTACGGTGAAGGGATGCACACAGCTGAACCCCTCCTCGCTGCTGCCCACGCCAGAGGAAGGGGAGGCACACTGCTGTATCGCCACAATAGAGCAGAGATGCACTCCCAGGCCAGACCTGAAAGAGGTGCCTCTGACTAATCCTGACTTGATTTTTTTTATACAGACGGAGCCGCGTCACGTGACAACACTGGGAAGAACCGAGTCGGCTATGCTGTGTGTTCTGATTTTGATACTATAGACTCTGGTAGTTTGCCCCACTACCACTCAGCACAAACCGCTGAGCTGGTCGCGCCCACCGGGGCGTGTGAGCTGGCAGCGGGCAAAACTGTTAACATATTATGTGATACGCGCTATGGTTTCTCTGTGGTGCACGACTGGGAAGCACTGTGGAAACACCGCAATTTTATGAAATCTGATGGTAAACCAATTCTTAATTCCACACAGGTTGAACGTCTGCTGAAAGCTGTAATGTTGCCCTTAGAGATCGCTGTATGCAAATGCCAGGCCCACACTAATGCCACTGATCCCATCTCTGCAGGGAATCGGCGCGCGGACAAGGCAGCGGCACACGCACCTCTACACACACACACACACACACTACCTCACTCAAGACGTTGATATTTTCTACTCCAGCAGAGACGCTGCTGTGAGAGGGGAATGGGGCTCAACGACGGCATGGTGTGTGTGGCTGGGACCAGACAGCAAACCGTGCCTACCACGGCATTTCTTCAGACAGTTTGCAATTTTAGCACATGGTCGAGACCATGCCTCAAAAGGAGGGATGATGTGTGATTTAATCACACAAAATTGGTATACAAAGGGGTTTACGGCATTTGCACAGAGATTCAGCCAAACATGCGCTATATGCCCCGCGCACAACCCAGGTAAGTCCCAAAAGTATCCAACAGGCTGCTCATCCTCCGCCCCTGCGCCCATTTCAACATGTCCAAAGGGACTTTGTTGAACTCACACCATGCCAAGGTAAGTAATACTGTCTGGGTCTGGCGGATCTCTGGTCCAAATGGACTGAAGTATTTGCAGGCATACACGCCACAAGCAACGCGGTGGTGAGTCACTTTGTAGCAAAAGTCATTGAGGAAGTGGGTGAATTTCTGGGCATTGATATACGTAAACACTGCAGTTACGCCCCCTGGAGCGGAGGCACGTGCGAGCGAGAGAATGGCACTCAAAGCTCTGCCGCTAGCCCCACGTTGGGCGCGGGACCCCCGAACAGAGATCTGCCAAGCACCTCTTTGTGTGATGACGACATGCTGTCCTATTGTAAGGAAATTAATGCACTTTTGTCCTCTATTTCTGCCCAGGTCAGGAGCGCCCTGCCACAGGCTGCGCAGGCGACTGGGTCCTGATGAAGGAAACGAGACGAAAGCATTGGCGGTCCAAGCGCTGGCTCGGCCCATTCCTCGCCCTCCTGGTGACGGACACTGCCGTTAAGGTCGCGGAGAGGACAACTTGGATCCACGCCAACCACTGTCGTGCGGTGCTGCCACTGAGGGCCATAGACGAGGACACCGAGGGCGCGGACGGACCAGGCCCATCCGCGGCTCCCTACGCTGAATAGGTCTGCCGGCGTGCGACCACCATCGGTGAAGCAGGCCAACAACAACACCCAGAGATTCCCAGCGTTCCCGAGGCGACCCCCCTTTGCCCAACTCCCCAGCCCCCGGACCCCAAGGCCTGGGAGCCATGAAGGCCCTGAGCGCTCTGCTCAGCCGCAGCAAGTATGCAGAGCTGCTGCTCATTCCAAAGATTTCTCCAGAGCCTGCTCCCTCTGGCCATAATGCAGATTGGAGCTCTGCTGGAGTGCCCCCTGGTGTCTCGTCTCCCGTGTGTCCGGAGGAGGTGGAGATGAGGGCTGCTCTACAGTTCCTGATGAGGCACATGGTGAAGCGTGCTGTCATGAGGTCTCCCATCAAACGAGCTTTGGGCCTGGCCGATCTGGAGCGTGCTCAAGCCATGGTCTCCACACCCCAAACCCCGAGCACTCTGCCCAACCGAGTGCTGAGGCCAAGGCTTCAACGCAATTAGAGTCTTGCCGCTCCAAGACCAAACATCGCCATGACCACTAACGCTCCACACACGCTCATAGGGAGCGGTGCCACTGACTGCGAGACGGCACTGCTCGTGAGTATTCCCGCGGAAAAGACTACCGAACGTAGCCCGGCTAAGACCGGAATGGGCCCTTGGACTGTTATGCGGGCCACACTGACACTACTTTCCGTGCTGACCGTGTTTATTATGTTAATATTGCCTTCTCTTATCGCTGTCCGGATCCATTGTGTTATTATAATGTGCTCTTTCTTTTATTGACAAGCATGTGTCTTTTCTTGTCCACTTTGGACAGCAATAATTTAAGTGTTTCAAGCTTGAAGGTGGTGTGATTACGATGCCTCTGGTATTTAACTGATTAATGCAAAAATGGTTTTGAATTATCAGAAGAGGGGAGTGTGGTGACAGTTTTTGGAGTAATTACATAAAACCAGCCGCAGCAAATACACGGACGTCGGAGGCCTTTTGTCAGTGCGGACGACCTTCTGACGCCATGCTGAGCTTTGTGAAGGTCCCTGCTGTCTGTCACACCCTTGTGTCTTTCCGTCTTGCATCTGTATGACCTGCATTTCCACCGTTGTCTGTCTGTTCACACCCCATGCCACTGCCACCACAGGGGATGGCGCCGGCGCTTCCTGTGCGCCTCCTCACCGGTGGCCCCCTCCGCTCCGTTGTGGGCGTGACTATCTTTGGTGTGTGTCTTGGATACAGGAAGCTGGGGGCTCTGGCCCCCAGAGCTGAGCATGCTGCCTTTGTGTGCATATGCTGACTCTCCGCACTGTGCGTTAACAATAAACTTACGCTTTTGATCAGACAAAGGACCTTTGAGTTTCCTCCTTCATGGGGTATATATTTCTATAACAGCTCCCACTCTGCAGTAGACTCTCCACTAAACTCTAAACAAGGAACAGCTTCCAAACTCTCTCTGCCCTCAGACCTCGTAGGTTCAGATCTCAGCGATGGCCGAGAGGACGGTGCCCTTCTCCCTGGAGCGCTCTCGCAGCTGGGACCCCTTCGCTGATCGCCACAGCCGCATTTTTGACCAATGTTTTGGGATGCCTGCATTGACAGAAGAGGCTCTCCTCACCACTCACTGGCCCGGATACTTCAGGCCCTCAGTCCTGGCTCCAGACCTGAGCTCCCTGATGTCCCTGATGCACCCAGGACCTGCCCTGGCCCGACAGATGAGCAGCGGAACGTCCCAGATCCAGCAGACCAAGGACAGCTGGAAGGTGTCTCTGGATGTCCAGCACTTCTCCCCCGAGGAGCTGGTGGTCAAGACCAAGGACGATGTATTAGAGATCAGTGGGACACATGAGGAGAGGGAGGACCAGCACGGCTTTGTGTCCAGGAAATTCACCCGGAAATACACTCTTCCATCATCTGTCGACGCAGAGAAGGTCACCTCAGCCCTGTCCCCAGAGGGAGTGCTCACTGTCCAGGCCCCGCTGGTCGCACCTGCCCTGGAGGCTTCTAAGACCACCACTGCAGTCACAGATGACAAGAAAGCGGAAAAGAAGAAGTAGAGACTTTATTTAATAACGAGTCCAGCACCACACACACACACACACACACCCATACACACACACACACACACACACACACACACACACACACACACACACACACACACACACACACACAAACACATACACACGACGTCAAATTTACTTTGCATGAAGAGACACTGTGTGGAATGCAGGAGATATAATGTAATTATATAATGATTAAATTGTTGTTTCAAGTGGAGAGCCATTATTTTAATAAATAAAGCATCCATCCATCTTCTTCTTCCACTAATCCATGTCTGGGTCGGTCCTCACAGCACCAGCCCCTCACTGACCCTCCTGCAGGTGGTGAGTCCACAGGAGGGCGGCTGCTCTGTCACTGATAGCACAGCCTTGATCTTTCAGCCTTAAAATAAAGTATGTTTTAAATATATAAATATACTAAAATAGAAAATAACAAAAGTCAAGAAGATCACTATCTCTTTGGTATTTGGAGAATTATGGCATTAAAAACTATTACTAAAGAGTAGAAAGAGAGAGAGAGAGAGAGAGAGCCCAGAGAGAAAGACCAGAGAGAGAGAGAGCCCAGAGAGAGAGAGAGAGAGAGAGAGAGAGAGAGAGAGAGAGAGAGACCAGTGAGAAAGACCATAGAGAGAGAGAGACCAGTGAGAGTCCAGAGAGAGAAGTGCAGCAGGCTCTTCGCCACCTATGATATAAAACATATTCTGACTTCCCACAACACTCACACATATGAATGATGAGAGTTAGTACTAAGTAGAAGTTTTATGGTAGTACCAGGTGTGGCAGCGGCGCACAGTTCTCGGACCACCTTCACAGGCACAAACCCCGGGTACAGCGCTCCCACGATGGTCACCACATCAAACTGCTCTGGAACACAGGACAGCAGCAAAGTTACCGTCAAGAGCCTCATTCACACTCAGCAACATGGGCTGGTGGGTCCAAACCACTGGCTATTTAACCCCGCCTTGGAAGGTAGTCTTTTTATAAATTATATATCACATAAGAATTCAAAGTTTTAAAGAATTTCACAAACATGGGCTCATAAAAGTACAAGGTTTCTCTGATTTCCCCTACCCTCAAAAACATATACATTACGTTTACATTATTACTGTATGTATGTAAGTTACTCCTATCTGGGAATAAATAGGGTCTCTGCTTCAGTCTCTGCTTCAGTCTCTGCTTCAGTCTCTGCTCTAGTCTCTGCTCTAGTCTCTGCTGCTTCAGTCTCTGTTTCAGTCTCTGCTTCAGTCTCTGCTTCAGTCTCTGCTCTAGTCTCTGCTCTAGTCTCTGCTTCAGTCTCTGCTTCAGTCTCTGTTTCAGTCTCTGCTCTAGTCTCTGCTCTAGTCTCTGCTCTAGTCTCTGCTTCAGTCTCTGCTTCAGTCTCTGTTTCAGTCTCTGCTTCAGTCTCTGCTTCAGTCTCTGCTGTAGTCTCTGCTCTAGTCTCTGCTTCAGTCTCTGCTTCAGTCTCTGTTTCAGTCTCTGCTTTAGTCTCTGCTTCAGTCTCTGCTTCAGTCTCTGCTTCAGTCTCTGCTTCAGTCTCTGCTTCAGTCTCTGCTTCAGTCTCTGCTTCAGTCTCTGTTTCAGTCTCTGCTCTAGTCTCTGCTCTAGTCTCTGCTTTAGTCTCTGTTTCAGTCTCTGCTTCAGTCTCTGCTTCAGTCTCTGTTTCAGTATCTGCTTCAGTCTCTGTTTCAGTCTCTGCTTCAGTCTCTGCTTCAGTCTCTGTTTCAGTCTCTGCTTCAGTCTCTGTTTCAGTCTCTGCTTCAGTCTCTGTTTTAGTGTCTGTGTCTGCTTCAGACCTTGTTCTGGTTTAGTCCAGCAGGTTTAATGCAACTTACCAGAGCCTACAGGCAGGTCTTGGGTCCCCAGAAGAGCCAGATGCAAGCTCTGGTACAGCTTGGTTTTCTGAGCCTCTTCCAACATGGCGGCGCTGCTGTCCACGCCCACAAAGCAGCGGAAACCCAGAGAGGACAGCTGACACAAACACAATACAATATATATACTTTATAGATCTCCAAAAGGCCTTTCACTACATTTTTAATGATAATAATAACGCACTGGTTTTATACAGTGTCATTATTCAATCACTCCATACACAGTGGTAATAAACTACCACTATAGCCACAGCTGCCTTGGGGCACAATGACAGAAGTGAGACCACCAGTCTCTGCCATCTGCCCTTCCGACCACCACCAACCTTTCACACACACACTAGACTCATTCTAACGGGAACAACCACAGTTTGGCACTTTACAGCCACAGCCGCCCCACTGCACACTAGAGGTCTCCCATCACAGTAATAACCAGGCCCTGTCCTGCTTATCTACAAAGGTCAAAATTTGGCTTTTACATGTCTGTGGCACATCACAATATTATAATAAACATATAAAACAGGAAATTTGGAAAGAAATGGTGGGAGAGGTACTTGTGAGAGAGACAACAGATCAGACAAGTAAGTAAGTAAGTAATCTTTATTTGTATACCGCCTTTTCACTGCAGATCTGAGTCTCAAAGCGGTTTACAATAGTTAATTATGGGCATTTGTCTCTCACTCCACACAGAGATGGGAGCAGGGTCGCCAGTACAGGAGGCACATGCATGAACTATTGGACATATTTTTAGTGGTAGGGGAAACCGGAGTACCCGGAGGAAACCTACGCAGACACAGGGAGAACATGCAAACTCCACTCAGAAAGGCCCTGGTCCGACCTGGATTTGAACCCAGGACCTTCTTGCTGAGAGGCAAGAGTGCTATCCACTCAGCCACGGTGCCGCTCAAGCTGTGGGGTTCCCCAAGGGTCGATCCTGGGACCCACAGTATTCATATTGTAATTCAATGAAATATGCAAAGTATCAGAACACATGAATTTATTCTCTTTTTCAGGGTGTCTGGGAAACTTTCTGCACCTCATGTATAAAACTTATTGCATGACAGAGATGCTCACCAATATTACAGTTTAAAGTGATAGTCTGTAAGGGATAGTCTTTAGGAAATGTGTTAAATTGACCTCCTGGACTTAAATGTTGACATAAAATAAGTCAATTTATTAATTCTAATATTACGGGCAAGTCCCGCCTTCCCTTCTCTTAGCTATAGCTCAGAATCCACGGTGCCGTCGAGGTTAACCAATTGAGTCATGCCAAGGGCTGTCAATCATCAGCGCTGCTGCTCGTAGCTGCTCATGCTCAGTTGTTTGTTTTTGCGGAGTCTCTGAATCAAGCCTCTATTAGGCTCTGGAACTACATGAAAACTGAACAAAGAATTCTGAACATCCGCGCTGAGTTACCTATTTATATACTGAACCTATATCCATAATCATTTATATACTGAACCTATATCCATAATCATGTATATACTGAACCTATATCCATAATCATGTATATACTGAACCTATATCCATAATCATGTATATACTGAACCTATATCCATAATCATGTATATACTGAACCTATATCCATAATCATTTATATACTGAACCTATATCCATAATCATTTATATACTGAACCTATATCCATAATCATTTATATACTGAACCTATATCCATAATCATTTATATACTGAAAATATATCCATAATCATTTATAAACTGAACCTATATCCATAATCATTTATATACTGAACCTATATCCATAATCATTTATACTGAACCTATATCCATAATCATTTATATACTGAACCTATATCCATAATCATTTATATACTGAACATATATCCATAATCAGATCCTCTGCAGATGTGTTCTATAATGTGTAATCAATGATAATAGCTTGTTCCTGGTTTTCCGCGATCGCTTTTTTTGTGCATAAAAACATTTTTTTGTGCATAAAAACATTTTTTTATTCATTAAAACGTTAACAAATAATTCTGAAAACCTCTGTGCATGTGTATTAATAATGTATATGTATAATGTGTTCTCTGATTAACATTTAAAAGTGTTACGGAAACGTAGGTGTGGACCAATCAGAAAGGAAGGGGGAGGAGCTTGCGTCGTTTTTTTTCAAATCAAGCACCTCTCTGTCTCTCTTTCTGACAAACTCCAGATAATCACTTTAAGAGGAAACTACATTTCTGTTTTCTGCCAGGTGCATCTTTTTGGTATTGAATTGTTCTTGGACCCACTTTGAAACCCAGTGGGAAAAAGTGAGAACATTGGGGAGGACCATATAGAGAAATCTGCTCCCACGGACAGAAGGGCTGTAGATCCAGGACTGAGGCTGTAGATCCAGGACTGAGGCTGTAGACCCTGGACTGAGGCTGTAGACCCAGGACTGAGGCTGTAGATCCAGGACTGAGGCTGTAGACCCTGGACTGAGGCTGTAGACCCAGGACTGAGGCTGTAGATCCAGGACTGAGGCTGTAGATCCAGGACTGAGGCTGTAGATCCAAGACTGAGGCTGTAGATCCAGGACTGAGGCTGCAGATCCAGGACTGAGGCTGTAGATCCAGGACCGAGGCTGTAGATCCAGGACTGAGGCTGTTTGTGTGGGTGTGAACGAAGTGTATCTGCCTAAATTTAGACCCCTAAATCAGTTTGTTTCTCAGTGCGTGAAGTTAATATTTCGAACATTTTAACAGAAGAAGTAAAAACCTGATCCAATCTGACTCTCACCATTTTGGCCACGAGTCCAGATCCACAGGCCACGTCCAGGACCCTCTGCTGCTCTGGGATCGGCTGCAGGTGTCTCTTCACGGCCTCTGCAGTGTGTGTGGGAGCCATGTACTGCATCTGATCATGGTCCTGTAGATAACACACTCACAGATATACACACACACACCATGTTCCAACCATAGGCCGCATATAAATATGAGTCATGGAAGCTAACGGTGAAGCTCTTAAACAGCTTGTCATTAAAATCATGTTGTGTCCAGTTAAAACAGTGGTCTCTCTGCTACATTAAACATGAAAACCTGCGGCTTATATTCAGGTGTGGCCTGCATGTGGATAACATTGATTATCTTTTAGAATTTAGGTGGTGCAGCTTCTACAGTATACAGGTGCACCTTATAGTCCAGAAAGTACAGTATGTCTGATTGAATTAAGTACTTTATCCACCACCGAAGAATAGAAATAGTATAGTTATATTTGCACACAGATCGGCCCATTCCTTTGTACTGACCGTTTCATATGTCTCTGCCCACTGATCGTAGAACTGAGGACTGAGGCAGGACCTGAAGGCCTCGCGGGCGTCTTGGACAGTCCTAGCTCCGTGGGACATCTTCGCATTGGCTTCCTGTAATCCGGGTTAGGGCTAGAGGGACACCCATGCAATTATCAAATATGGAAGTCCTTCTCTGCTCCGTTCTAGATGGAATAATGCTTCTAAGTAGCAAGTGAGAACTGTGTGTGCATTGGGGGCAGTAAGTCAGTGCATGAATTTCCAGTGCAGGAATTTCTAGGTGTAGCAAGGGGCAAGAGGGAAGCTGGATTTGGGGACCACAGGGTTTCATCGCTGCTGTTTATAGATAATGTTGTCCTGAAGGCTTCAGCAAACCAGGACCTCACTGCACTGGGACAGTTTACAGCCTGAAGCAGGAGTCTTCCTCCACCGCCAACAATATCCCAATGGAGGTCAGCAGCTCTGCATCAGCACAGTGTTGGCAAAGGACTGCTTCGCTCCTGAGGCGCCGGACAGTGTGCCAAAACTGAGAACGACCGATGGTCCTGCTCCATGGACTTTGATAGTCCTGCTCTATGGACTCTGATAGTCCTGCTCCATGGACTCTGATAGTCCTGCTCTATGGACTCCGATAGTATGGACTCCGATAGTCCTGCTCCATGGACTCTGATAGTCCTGCTCTATGGACTCCGATAGTCCTGCTCCATGACCTGGGAGAAGCGCTCCTGGAGTCCTGTTGCTTCAGAAGGACTTGAGCATTGCTCGGTGTTAGATAGATAGATAGATAGATATTTTAGAAGGAGAAATTCAGGTGTCCAGTAGTAGCAAAAATAAAAAATAAAATTGATCATTCTAAAAAAAGATATCAATAGTAATACTCAGCCACAGCCCTTCAGGTCACAGCAGCAGAGGTGGAGTAGCCTCTGGGTGGAGCAGGATGGGTCACAAGATGGAGTAGCCGCTTGGTTTGGACCATTTTCTCTGCTCTAGTCCAAAGTAAAATGCTAAATGCTTCATTAGCATTTTTCAAAAAGTCAGCATTCCTCCAGCAGACCATGAATCTCTGACTCTGACTTAAACTTCAATAGCCACATTGGATCGGTAACATCAGCAGCTTTTTATCATCTGAAAAATATTGCCAAAATTAAAAATATTGTGTCCAGGGCAGACTTGGAGATTCTTATCCATTCTTTTGTTTCCAGTAGGCTGGATTACTGCAATGGCCTGCTCACAGGTATCTCCAAACATGCAGTAAAACAGCTGCAGTATATTCAAAATGCTGCAGCCCGAGTCCTGACTAGAACCAGGAAGTACGACCACATTAGTCCGGTCCTCAGGTCTCTGCACTGGCTTCCCGTGGCCCAGAGGATAGACTTTAAAGCAGCTCTCCTGGTGTACAAGTCTCTCCATGGCCTTGCACCAAAGTACATCCATGATATGCTAGTCCCATATGAACCAGCCCGGACTCTGAGGAGCGCAGGGACGGGACTCCTGTTAGTGCCCAGAGTCAGGACTAGACAGGGGGAGGCTGCTTTTCAGATTTATGCAGCTAAAGTCTGGAACAGTCTTCCTGAGGATGTGAGACTGGCTGCCTCTCTGTCAATGTTCAAATCCATGTTAAAGACTTTTCTTTTTTCCTGTGCATACAACTAGAGAATTTTATCTTTTTAACACACCTTGTTATTTATTGTTGTAACTTTTTGTGTTTTTAACTATTTTATTGTTTTTAATTACTTGTGTGATTCTTATGTTTTTAAATTACTTATGTGATTTTAATGCTTTTTAATTACATATGTGTTTTTAATTGTATTTTAATGGTGATGATTTGTGCATTGTGTGGTGTGGACTGTGAGGCGCTTTGTGTTGCCCTGTGCAGGAAAAGCGCCCTATAAATAAAGATTGATTGATTGATTGATGAATCCTCTCTGCTCCGGTCTGGACCAGTGCAAAACTTTGCACACTGTATTGAAGCAACATCTTAGGGGCACAAGGTACAAAAACAAAAGCTGGACGTCCATCAGGAATCACAACATCTCGAGGACACACAATCAAGGGTCATTTAGAATAGATACAATTGTGCCAATAATTAAGAGTGGGCTCTGACGCTAATACAGTTTGAAGGAGACGAGTCGAGCAATGATTTGTATGGAACAGTAACTGAATATGAATAACTACCTTTAGATATTTATGATAAAAAATAAACAAAAAGCATATGTTGAGTCAGTACTCACCAGCGGCAGAGACAGAAGGAAACCTGTTCTGTGAATTTACAGTATCATCCCTCCCATTTGGCTCCTCTTGCATAGTTACAGTGCATTCCTCTGTTATGGGAGGGGTGTATATGTTGTACAGAGATACTTGTGCTGTGCGTGTAAATAAACAGGCCTTGTTCTTCTTCCAAGCTCTTGTATTTATCTTCTTCTACTATTTTTGTATGATCCAATTCTAATGTATGATATTCTCTATTGCAGTGGTCAGGTCTTTGCATTTTCAGTTTTTCCTTTGTGAATTTTTCTCTAATTGAGTAAGTCGTCCAATGATAGACGTTTTTTGTCCACATCACGCTCCTGCACTTAGAAGCTTGACCTTTTTTGTTTCAAGAATCTTTGAAAAGTTTGGAAGCAGATCATTTTTATACAAGGCTCCATCTGACTGGAATAAGTTACTCACATCCATCAGATCCTCAACCTCCTTTGGTTTATATCTGAATTGAAAATGTCTCTGATGTGCTCCGATTTTCCCTACCACTAAAAACATGTGCCAACTTGTTGTGACAAAACCACAGTTTGGCACTTTATAGCCGCCCCACTGTGGCAGTTCTTTTTCGCATTCCTTCTGATGTTCCTTCCTTCTGAAAGCTCTTCCTGTTTCTCCGATGTATGTTTTATTGCACGTTCTACATGTTTTGTTTACAAGATTGCACTTTTTCCCTGTACGCATGTATTCTATCTTTTGGGTGTACGAGGATTTGTCTGAGCTTTTAATGAGGTTTTATTATTGCGTTGATGTTGTATATCCCGAGTCTTCTCTGTATCTTCTCCGAGACCCCTCCTACAGTACAGACCAAAAGTTTGGACACACTTTCTCATTCAAAGAGTTTCCTTTCTTTTCATGACTATTGCCTGTAGATTCAAACCCAGGCTGTGTAAGGGCTGTTTGACCAATAAGGAGAGTGATAACCTGGCCTCCACAGTCACCGGACCTGAACCCAATCCAGATGGTTTTGGGGTGAGCTGGACCACAGAGTGAAAGGGCTAACAAGTGCTAAGCATCTCTGGGAACTCCTTCAAGACTGTTGGATTTTCAGGTCACTTCCTCTTGAAGCTCATCAAGAGAATGCCAAGAGTGTGTGAAGCAGTGATCAGAGCAAAAGGTGCTACTTTTAAGAACCTGGTTAGGTTTTCAGTTGTTTCAAACTTTTTTTGTGTGCATACTGTACATAATTCCACATGAGTTAATTCAAAGTTTTGATGCCTTCAGAGGGAATATACACGTTTCAAAATCATGAAAATAGGACTGTGAATGAGAAGGTGTGTCCAAACTTTTGGTCTGTACTGTATACAACTATTTATTTGTGTTCGTTGTGCTTGTGTGGAGGCTTTCTTCTCTGTTTTGTGTGGTCTGTTTGTATTTGTTGTCTTCCTTTCTGTATTGCCCATCTGGGATATTGACAAACCCTGAATGCTTGGATTATGTGTCCTTCTTCTTCTATCCTGTCTTGTTGCTCTGTGATGTTATTGAGGCCAGAGTTCTGAGGTCCAGAGGAAATATTGATCGGCGTGTGTTGGTCTTCCTGTACTGTGGCCGTGATGCCGCCCTCCTTCTCCTCCTTGAGTGTGAATGTGTTGTGTCTACGATGTTGAGGTGGTCTATGAGTTCCTGTGTGCTTCTTGTTTTTACTAGCTTTTTTGTCTCATTAAAATAACCTTCAAAGCCTCCTTCATGATAAAAAGTCACAGATACAAACAAAGAACTACAAAACCGGATTCCTCAAATGCTGGATTCTAGGCTTTCCTGTTTGTCTCTGTTTCGAGCCCAAGCTGTTGTGTTTGTTGCACTGCCTCCTGTTACTGCTAGTTCAGCCAGGTTTCCTTAAACAGTCGCCCGATGAAAGGAAGGAAATTACAAACTTAGATAGATATAAAAGAAGGTTTAATATATAAAACACAATACATATAAAAGACAGGCAGAGACAAAAGCCTGGGTCTGCGCGGACGAGAGCCAAAGCACAAAGACCACGCTGATAGTTAGGCCTCGCCTCTTATACCAAAGGATTTAAAACACAATATGACCTATGAACTCTAGGTTAGAAAACAATCTTCTCATCCATCAGAAGTGTCTTCTTGTCTGAGACCAACTCAACCCAGATGTTTTCTGGCTTCATGCTTGTTTACTCTTCTCGTCTTTCACTCTTGCCTGGGGGCTGAAAGAATTCTGCATTCTCGCCACCCTCAATGCATGAGTTGGTTAACTTGACTAGACCCTATACTAATCTACACACATTTATTAATATGATAATACACATAACATTTCTTAACATCTCCCCCTGTTTATAATTTAATAAATGAACCATTCAACATCCAATCTCTTCTCAGTTTTCTGTAATACCTTCATAATAAACTTACACTCAGAGGGAAATGTCAAAATCATTATTTACAATTGTGTGAGTTAACAACGCTTGGCATTGATCTGAATACAGGGTATCAGCTACTGCTGTATTGATCGATTTGCTGGTTAAATACTTAGCACATGGTAACAAACAAGTTACAAATATGCAAAATAAAACCAAAATCATTATTGCAGGTGTTGCTGTCTTCAATATCACTTACCACCATGCACCAGTAGAAAACCATGACAATAAGTCTCAATTCATGTTGGTACTGTCTCGCTCACTTAACATCTTAGTTTTAAAGCCTTTTAATCGATCCAAAATTAGTGAATAATTTGAGTTGGATGATGGAATGAACGTACAACAGTGATCTTTAATTAATTGACACACACCCCCAGTCTCGGATAAAACAAAGTCTAATGCTACTCGATTCTGCATGATCATTTGTCGCATAGCCCCCTTCTCTGGATCTGTACTGATTTGTTCAGTA